GTACACAGAAGTTAAAGACTGTAGAATGTTGATGAGTAAAAGAACACAGACCGATTTTCCTGAACCAATGGTTTCATCTGATTTGCTAACATTTATAATTTCATATGGTGAAAATGTATTCCCAAATTTAAGCACTGCATTGCAGATTTTGTTAACAATTGAGGTTTCTATTGCTAGTTGTGAAAGGTCCTTCAGCAAGTTGATATTAATTCTTACATACTTGAGAACCTCAATGACTCAAGAACAACTTAGTAACTTGGCAATATTAAGTATTGAAAAAAAAAGACATACTTAATACCTTAAATTTTGAGTTTAATTGATGCATTTGCAGCAGTAAAAGCACAAAAGGTTCATATAGTGTAACCATGAATACCAGAATGCTACCTGTACAAGATCTAGTTATGTATATGTACAGTTTTGTAAACTAATAAAATTTGTTATTTGTAAACTTAAGTAGTATTTTATCAATCTGTTTTATAATCCACGTACACCACAAGTGACTGGCTTCTCATATAAAACATAAGTTTCAAAACTAGGGATATAACAGAAATTGAACAATACTGGATGACATAAATATCAAAATGGTTTACAAATTATGTAAGTACACCTAGTAGGCTATACTTCATTAGTTCCAGGTTTACAGTTGTGATATCGTGAGATGTTATATTGTGACTTTATTTTAAGCCTGTGTAAGGTGGTAATTAATTCTTTATGATATTGTCATTAAGTGGGTAATGAGTCACAAAACAAATAATCAAAACATTTCAGAGGAGGGGGCACCAAAAGTGTCTTTGCCCCCGGGTGCTGAGAACCCTTGCTACGCCACTGCTTGTAGGATAGAAATTACATCTGTCTATTTGTTTTAGTTACTTAAATACATGCTTTGATGCTGTTATGTACTACTGATAAGTCAAACTAATTGTTTAGGTATGACATTAAAATGAGGAAAAAATAACATTTTGGAATAAAAAAGCAAATTAATGGGATTGAAGAATAAAGATAGAAAATGTGACTTGTGCATGTAATTCTCTTTTTCAAGTATTCAAGATACATAATCAAATAAGTTTTATCCACTCCTTAACACTTCTAAAACTGTTTCATCAGTTTCACATAGTTAAAACTACAATCTTGTACAGTTTCGAATTTGATGACGAGGAACTCACTTTGGGACTAATAATGGTTGGAGACGGCTTGAATGGGTAATGAAGAAAACTTTAATACAAGTTTAACATAACAGCAAATCTACAACGTTTCTGTTATGTTAAACTTATATTAAAATTTTTCTTCATTACCCATTCAAGCCATCTCCAACCATTACTAATCTTGTACAATACTGGATTCCTAAATCTTAAAGTTAATTTAATTTTTGTACCTCGTCTCATATTCCAATTCGTAATGTATCTGGTAATGAAACTAAAGCTTATCTCAATTAGCATTATTATATTTTAAAATAAGCAATAAATTATTCAAACTATGAATATATATATTACTTCAGGAATTATCCTCTGTATCAAATGTTTCATAACTTTACAGAAGTTTTTGATATTATATGAGCTTTTTTTGGTAATTTCAAAATCAAACACTAAAGTGTATTTACATTTAACAGATACTTTTAAAACATTTGAACTTAAGTTTTTTAGCAATGTTTTTAGCTCTATAGGCTTAAATTGTATTCATTCAAAGCAACCAAGTGTCTTTGAAAGTAAGTATTCACAGTTAACATTAGAAGTTCTTTTACAGATATATATCTATCAACAAAATTATCTTCCTCCGCTACACATATTTTCAGGGTGGCAGGTATTAGTGGTAATAATTTTTTTACACAATCCGACATTTAGTATCATAATCATAGAGCATTACAATTTTTAACTGCAGTTTTTGTTTTCCTGTATCTTCGATAAACAGTTTTTTGGATATAATCGATAACTGTTTAAAAAGAAAATTATAACATTCACATTTGTTGTGTCCACTGATGAATATTCAAATACAATTTGTAAATTTTGAGAAACCAGGCATTGTAAAGCATTAGAACATACTTTAAAATTTTAAATCCAGGTATTAGAAAAATTTTACTTTGTTACACTTCCATATTTGAGAACTTGTATGAGAAAGTTATAATTTTCCTATACTTAAAATGTATTTCCAATAGGTACTTCCCTCTTCTCATAAGATTAGCTATTTTCATTCATTGCTGCTCCCTATATGTGAACTTTTTCTTTATGCATCCCACAAGCCTTTTACTCCCCCCCCCCCATTCTGAACTATCACTTCTCCTTTGGCAGAGCTTGTATTCAGACGTCTTTGTTTTGTCTTGCTTTCAGTTTGAGCTATAGTTATGTCACTTCAAAGTT